TAAACAATATTAGGCTACACTGAATAATATGTGAAACTGAATAGCAACCCAATCTAGGCCTGAAATATGCCCACAATATACAATGCCCTTTGCAAGTCTGGCAAAACTAGTGTATTTATAAAAGGTGTTTTCGAGAAGAGACATGAGGTTAAGTTGTATGCCTTCAAACATATGTAACAGAGGTACAGAGAGGACAGCTTATACGGGACAAAGATAAAGGTACAGACAAAGTTCAAATGGCAAAAGTGCTGAAGAACAGGGCTGGAGAACACAATGCAGCACACACAGACAAAAGAACATGCTGAAATAGAGGCATTTTTAAGACTGTTATTGTGTTATCAATTACTGTACCAAAAACCCTTTACAACAGAGTGAAAAGTGTGGCCCTTCAGACACTTCTGGACTGCAACAACCATCATTTCTAGCCACTAACTATGATGACTAGATGTGTTGTCGAAGGCTTTCATGGCCAGAATCACTGAGTTGCTGTGAGTTTTCTGGGCAGTATAGCCTGATGAATCAACCTGGGCACAGCATAGTATTTGAGAACACAGAAATGCTGGACCATGCTAACAGCCACCATGTCAGACTATACAGAAAAGCCACTGAAATCCACAAGCATGTGGACAATTTCAACAGAAAGGAGAAAACCATGAAAATGAACCAAATCTGGCTACCAGTATTTAGAAACTCTAAAATCAGGACAGTAAATAAAGAGTAACACTGAAAAACAGGGGAATTCCAGACAGGAAACAATCAGGGCCAGCTAACACCTCCCAACAAAGGATTCCCCCAGGCAGGAAGCAGCTAGGCTCTGAAACTACAAGGGCATTCAATGTTAATCAAGCTAATCAATTGTAACATTCACACTTGCCTCAAGCAGACAAAAGTTCTTTTGCCCACCCTGGACTTTCCACAGATATATAAACCCCCTTCCCTAGTTTAAAACAGACCTCACAACCTCTGAGGATGCCTGTCATAGAAATGGGCAAAACATCAGGAGAGAATGCTTCTGGAACATAGCCATACAGCCCAGAAAACTCACAGAAACCCAATGATGACTAGAGTTTACTGGAACTTCAGCCCAAAATTATCCAGAACAGCACAGACTTTCCCTATCTTGATTTTTAAAAGCCTTGAGAAGAGAGTTGTATGAAGAAGTAAAAAAGCAGGACAACAGAACAAATGTATTAATTTGTGTGTAATCAAGTGAACTTTAACGTGAATACCATCCTATGCTGGTGTAGGAGAAGAAGATGGTAATGTTATAAAAAATACTATAGCAAACAGATGAATGAACTCAACAAGGGTTGGCCTCAACTTATCTTTCATGTGTGAAAATCAAATAAGAAGTTCAAAAACAAAATATCCCAACCATGTGAGAGAAAAGGAAACTGACCACTATGGCTTCCTCTGAACAGATGGAGAAAAAAATACAACAATACTGTAAGCTTGATGCCTAACAGAATCGCTTAGAAAAACCAAATGATTGCATGACATGGATGCAGTTGTTTGTGCAACAAAAAGTTTTCAATGAAGTTGAAATGTCTATAGTTCCAGGAGGTTACAAAACAGATTTAGGCAGTTCAAGGGAGGGAACAAAAAACCCACGTGAAGATTGAGGTAACAGGTACAACAGCTACAGGAATGAAAGTGAGACTAAGAAGAAATGAATACGTGGAAGAGAGACTTGGGTCCAAAGAACATGCAACTACCAACAGAATCTGGCTGATGTCATACTCTATGAGTTCAATGGACCTTTTGCATCTGGGGTTTGGTTCCAGGACCCCAGTAGATACCAACATTTATGGATGCTCAAGTCTCATTACATACAATGGTGTAGTGAAATGATGCCCCTTACATACAATAGCTTTTAGAGTTTTTTATTTTATTTTTATTTTTTGCTATTTTATTAAGTTACAGTTAGGTTGTTTATGTTGTCCAATGTGCCTTGTCTGGCTGTAAACTGTTTGTATGGTTTTCTTTTGGCATTGAATGTTTGCGATATTTTGGAGTTTGTATTGTATTTGCATTTAATGTAATACAATATGTTATATTACATGTAGTATTACTAATAATATTACAGTATAGTGATATAGTACAATAAAGTAATATATAATAGTAATATTGTACTGGGATAATAATATAATATGTTGTATACACATATAATATTGATAGTATTATAATGTAATAAATATAATAATTTTATATTTCATATTACGGTACATATATTACTAATATTATTACAGTATAGTGGTATAGTACAATACAGTAATATATAATACTAATATTGTGCTATGCTAATAATATAATATATTGTAAGTACATATAACTTGTAAGCCACTCTGAGTCCCCTTCAGGATGAGAAGGGTAGCATATAAATGTTGTAAATAAATAAATAAATAAATAAATAAATAAATAAATTTAATGTCTGTGTCAGGCATTGAATGTTTGCCTTCTTGTATTGGAATTTCCCGAGTCTCCTTGGGAAGATAGGAATATAAGTAAGGTTTATTATTATTAGTTGGTTGCATTATACATCATTGAATACTGCCCTTACATATTGTTAGCCTCCAAGAGTCCTAATTGGGGAGATAGGGCAGGATACAAATAAAGATGATGATGATGATGATATGTTGGTCTATTTTGGGGTTTTAATGGTTTGTATTGTTTTTGTATTTATTGTCTGCTTCAGGCATTAATGTTTGCCTTTCTTGTATTGGAATCTGTCCTGAGTCTTCTTTTGCAGATTGGGCAGAATATACATAAAGTTTATTATTGTTATTATTATTAGTTGGTTGTATTATACACCACCCAATACTGCACTTATATGTTGTATATATGTTATATATAAATAAAGTTTATTATTATTAGTATTTGTTGGTCTGTTTTGGGATTTGGACAGCTTGCATTGTATTTGTTGTCTGTATCAGATGTAAATGTTTGCGTTTTTCTATTGGACTCCTCCCTGTGTCCCCTTGGGGAGATTGGGCGGAATAGAAATAAAGTTTATTATTGTTGTTATTATTTTACTGACACAAAAAACAGGCTATGTCACAGTAAATGAGATCTATATGCTGGATTTCATATCACAAAATGACAAATCGAACACTTCCCAAGAGTCTAGGACTGTGTGATGTATTTTGGAATGATGCGTGCAGATCCAATTAGGGTGGCCTTTTGCAGTTGACAGATCGTGATTTTGTCAATGTTTATTGTTTCCAAATGCCAGCTGAGATCTTTTGGCATGGCTCCCAATGTGCCGATAACCACTGGGACCACCTGTACTGGTTTATGCTAGAGCCTTTGCAGTTCGATTTTGAGGTCCTGATAATGGCTGAGTTTTTCCTGCTGTTTTTCCTCAATGTGACTGTCACCCTGTATGACAACATCAATAATCCAAACTTTTTTCTTTTCCACAATCATGATGTCTGGTGTATTGTGTTCCAAAACTTTGCCATTCTGGATTATTATTATTATTATTATTATTATTATTATTATTATTATTATTTGTTGGTCTATTTTTGGGTTTGAATGGTTTGAATTGTTTTTGTATTTATTTTCTGCACCAGGTGTTAATGTTTGCCTTTCTTTTATTGGAATCTGCCCCGAGTCTCTCAGGGGAGACTGGGCAGATTATTATTATTATTATTATTATTATTATTAGATACTCTATTTTGGGGTTTGGATCGTTTCTATTGTATTTGTATTTATTGTCTGTATCAGGTGTTAATGTTTGCCTTTTCCTACTGGAATCCTCCCTGAGTTCCCATTGGGGAGATAGGGCAGGATCCAAATAATAATAATAATAATAATAATAATAATTATTATTATTATTATTATTATTTGGTCTATTTTGGGGTTTGGACAGTTTGTATTGTATTTGTTGTCTGCATCAGGTGTTAATGTTTGCCTTTTCCTATTGGAATCCTCCCTTAGTCCCCATTGGAGAGATAGGGAGGATCCAAATAATAATAATAATAACAATAATAATTAGGTCTATTTTGGGGTTTGGGCAGTTTGTATTGCATTTGTTGTCTGCATCAGGTGTTAATGTTTGCCTTTTCCTATTGGAATCCTCCCTGAGTCCCCATTGGGGAGATAGGGTGGGATCCAAATAATAATAATAATAATAATAATTTGGTCTATTTTGGAGTTTGGACAGTTTAAATCTTTCCACAGATATATAAACCCATTTTCCGACTTCCAACAGACCTCACTACCTCTGAGGATGCTTGCCATAGATGCAGGCGAAACGTCAGGAGAAAATGCCTCTAGAACATGGCCATATAGCTCGGAAAACCTACAACAACTCAGTTTAAATTGTATTTGTTGTCTGCATCAGGTGTAAATGTTTGCCTTTTCCTATTGGAATCCTCCCTGAATCCCCATTGGGGAGATAGGGCGGGATCCAAATAAAAATTCTTCTTCTTCTTATTATTATTATTTGGTCTATTTTGCGGTTTGGACTGTTCGTATTGTATTTGTTGCCTGCATCAGGTGTTAATGTTTTCCTTTTCCTATTGGAATCCTCCCCGAGTCCCCATTGAGGAGATAGGTCGGGATACAAATACAGTTTATTATTATTATTTCCACATAAATGCTTGGAAATACCCTGCAACACAAGAAAGAGGAAGAGAGAGATCACCTGGGAGCAGGAGCTGTTATACAAGGAATCTGGGCCGGGAAGGGGACGTGTGCCAAGCCTCTCAAGCCACGGAGGAGCCTTTGCGGATCAAAGCAACCAAGATACCAAGATCCCTACTTTGTTTGACAGAGAGAGAAGGGGGAAAGGCCCACTCTATCCCCACCTATCAAAGTCAAAGGGCGGGAAGGAAGGGCTGCCTGCGGGGAACTGTCAACAGCCGGCGAGGGAGGCCCTGAGGGCGCCCATGGGTCCAATGCCAAGGCGGCGGGACGTGCGGGCAGGAAGCGGCCGGGGGAGGGGGGCGAGGTGTGTGTGTGGAGAGAACCTCCCTCCCTCCTCTCTCCTCACTCACCCTTCTTCGCCGGGGGACTCCTCTGCGCTCTCCTCCTCGGCCATGGCGGCCCAGCGGGTGCTGCTGCTGCTACTGCTGCTTCGGCGCCTGCCCGCGGGTCCGGAGGAGGAGGAGGAGGAGGAAGCGGCGACGGCAGCCGGGAGCGCGGCGAGAGAGAGAGAGAGCGCGACCGCAGCCGCGGCGCCCCCGCCAGCCATCACGGGACCCGCCCGGGAGAGAGAGAGAGAAAGAGAGAGAGAGAGCGCCGCGGCCCCGCCCCCAGCGCCATAGAGCGCGCCTCGGCTAGAGAGGGCTGGCGAGGAAGGCCCCGCCCCTCCCCTCTCTCCCGCCCTCCCGCTCTCCTTCCTCGCTCCATGGCTCGCGAGGCGCGCTCTTTGCTGATTGGCCCGAGCCGTGGCACGAGCAGAGTGCCCCGCCTCCTCCCTCGCGTTGCTGGGCTGCGGGAAGGACAGCTTCGGCGTCAGCGCCTTCGCAGCACGGGCTGTTCCCACTCCGTGTTTACCCAGGGAGCCCGTCCCACTGGATTGAGTGGCCAGAAGGGGTCCCTGGACGGCAGAACGGGTCGCCTGGGTTGACAGGGCCTCGGCTTCCCTGCCGTGACGAGCCCTTAAGGCGCGAGGTGCGGCTTCTTCGGAAGTTTCATAATAACACTCTGCGCAAACAGAAACACGGGCCATGTCCAGGTAAATAGTATGATAGCTGGGTCCGGAAGCTCCGAGCGTTACGGAGATGCCGCACCTAATGTAAGCCAGGCCCGAGAGAGAGATCATCTATCTATCTTCTATCTATCTATAAATAAAAATGTAATGTTCGTTTGTAGGATTAACAGAACTCAAAAACCATTGGACGAATTGACACCAAATTTGGACACAAGACAACTAACAACCCAATGTATGTCCTTCACTCAAAAATTGATTTTGTCATTTGGGAGTTGTAGTTGCTGGGATTTATAGTTCACCTATAATCAAAGAGCATTCTGAACTCCACCAATGATGGAATTGAACCTAACTTGGCACACAGGACTCCCATGACCAACAGAAACACTAGAAAAGTTTGCTGGGCATTGACATTGAGTTTGAGAGTTGTAGTACACCTACATCCTGAGAGCACTGTGCAAATAATGATGAATCCAGACCAGTCTTGGCACAAATACTCAACATGCCCAAATGTGAACACTGGTGGAGTTTGGGGAAAAAGATCTTGACATTTGGGAGTTGTAGTTGCTGGGATTTATAGTTCACCTACAACCAAAGAGCATTCTGAACTCCAACCAATGATGGAATTGGGGCAAACCTCCCACACAGAACCCCCATTTGGGCCACAGCAGTGCGTGGCAGAGGATGGCTAGTAGACTCATAGAGTTGGAAGAGACCTCATGGGCCATCCAGTCCAACCCCCTGCCAAGAAGCAGGAATATTGCATTCAAAGAACCCCTGACAGATGGCCATCCAGCCTCTGTTTAAAAGCTTCCAAAGAAGGAGCCTCCACCACACTCCGGGGCAGAGAGTTCCACTGCTGAACAGCTCTCACAGTCAGGAAGTTCTTCCTCATGTTCAGATGGAATCTCCTCTCTTGTAGTTTGAAGCCATTGTTCCGTGTCCCAAGGAAGCAGAAAACAAGCTTGCTCCCTCCTCCCTGTGGCTTCCTCTCACATATTTATACATGGCTATCATATCTCCTCTCAGCCTTCTCTTCTTCAGGCTAAACATGCCCAGCTCCTTAAGCCGCTCCTCATAGGGCTTGTTCTCCAGACCCTTGATCATTTAGTCACCCTCCTCTGGACACATTCCAGCTTGTCAATATCTCTCTCTTGAATTGTGGTGCCCAGAATTGGACACAATATTCCAGGTGTGGTCTAACCAAAGCGGAGTAGAGGGGTAGCATTACTTCCCTAGATCTAGATACAGTGCTCCTATTGATGCAGGCCAAAATCCCATTGGCGATCTTGTTTAGCATCTTGACTAACGATCAGCCATAGCCACCACTCACAAAGAACTTTATATATGCTGATGACCTTAGCCTAACAATACAAGCAAAAGACTTGAAACAGTCAAAAACCAACTTACTAATTCCTTGAAAGATCTCTCCAGCTATTACAAAGATAACCACCTGAAGCCTAACCCTGCCAAGACACAAGTGTGTGCTTTCCACCTATGGAATTATGAAGCCAACAGGAAACTGAAAGTTACCTGGGAAGGTCAAGAGCTTGAACATTGTTTCCATCCTAAATGTTTCGATGTCACCTTAGATTTAACACTAGCATATAGGAAACATTGCATGAACACCAAGCATGAAATAGCTGCACACAATAACGTCCTGCGGAAACTTACAGGCAGCACATGACGTGCAGATCCAAAATTAATAAGAACATCAGCCCTGGCCTTGTCTTACTCAACTGCCGAATATGCCTGCCCTGTTTGGCACAAGTCTGCCCACGCGAACCAGATGAACATAGCATTGAACGAAACATACAGAATAATCACAGAACATCTCAAACCTACACCAGTTGGTAACTGCAAGCTATCTGGCATCCCCCCTCCCCCCCCGCTAATGTGAGACGGGAAGTTGCTGCTAACTGTGAGAAATAAGGTTGAACATTGTGAAAGCCATTCACTGCATGGCTATCAGCCTCCTCCCAGTAGACTCAAATCAAGGAAAAGCTTCATGAAAACCACCACTCCTCTTAATGCTCCCCCAGCAACAGCAAGACTATCCCTCTGGGCAGCTAAACCAGCCCCCACGAGGGTCTTCCTCCAGCAGCAAACCAAGAATGGGCAACTTGGAAGTCCCTGAACAGACTCAGAAGTGGAGTGGGCAGATCAAAAAACAACCTGGCAAAATGGCACTACTTCAAAGAAGCCTACACCTTGTGTGACTGTGGAGCAGAACAGACAACTCCACATCTGTATGCTTGTCCACTATGCCCTGCCTCATGTACAGAGGAAGACTTGTTGGAGGCTACAGGCAATGTGGTTGCTGTTGCCTGTTTTTGGCCAAAAGACATTTAGCCATTTGTGCTCCTTCTATTTTTATCAGTTTTATACTAATTTATGCAAGGCTTTTGATGCAAAATAAATAAATAGAAATGTGCATATTGTGCCTTGGGAAAGAATGGGATAAAATACATACACTTCTCCAACTAAGAAATGTTTCCTATATTGACTTGTAACTATTTAAAAGCATTGAGTCCTTAATCATAAAACTTCCACAACTTTCCTATATCTACTTAAAAGCAAAGGTGGCTTTCTTAACAGGACATTCGAAGCAGGGCCATAGAAGACATGGCCTTCCAAATATTGTTGGACTAAAACTTCCATCATTTTTAGTTACTTTGGCTGTGACTGATGGCAACTGTATTTCAACAACATCTGGAGGAAAACACGTTTCTCAGCCCTGGTCAAAAGGATGTGGTGCAGGTGACTTGCACAGCTGTTGCAATCCTTAGCTGCTGTAGTCATCTGATGGCTTAACATGTACAGTCTCATTTACAGATTCCTGCCTGAACTAGGACATTGATTCAAGCCATTTTAAAATTGTCCCACTTCTCTTTATTTAAACTGACCGATCCTGTCTAATAGTGGTAATTATTACCTGAAGAGCACAACAGTTAGTAAGATTTCTGGGTTGCTTGAGTCATATCAAATCATGTCAGAAAGATGCTTATAATTACTAGTCATTTACATGTGACTTTGAAGTCATTCTTGCTTTGCTAAATACTTTTCCCTGGTTTAAAAATATTGCTCTACGTGTATCTGTTTGAGGATCTCTAGACATTTAGGATAGGGCCAGATACATCTTAGCTGAGGAAGGTGGATGGTGCTTTTGGAAACTTACAGATCTATATAAATAAAAATGTAATGTTCGTTTGTGGGATGAACATAACTCAAAAACCACTGGATGAATTGTTGCCAAATTTGGCCACAAGACAGCTACTAACCCAAGGAGTGACCATCACTAAAAAAAATGATTTTGCCATTTGGGAGTTGTAGTTGCTGAGATTTATAGTTAACCTACAATCAAAGAGCATTCTGAACTCCACCAATGATGGAATTGAACCAAATGTGTCACACAGGGCTCCCATGACCAACAGAAAACACTAGAAGGGTTTGGTAGGCATTAACCTTGAGTTTGGGAGTTGTAGTCCTACATCCAGAGAGCACTGCGGACTCAATGATGGATCTGGACCAAAGTTGGCACGAATATTCCATATGCCCAAATATGAATACAGATGGAATTTGGGGGAAATAGACCTTGACATTTGGGAGCTGTAGTTACTGGGATTTATAGTTCACCTACAATCAAGGAGCATTCTGAACCCCACCAATGACAGAATTGGGGCAAACTTCCCACACTGAATCCCCATGACCAACAGAGAATACTTAAGGTGATCCAGTTCAACTCCCTTCACCAGGGCAAGCAAAAGTAATCAAATCCCTCCTGACAAAGAGCCAACCAGCCGTAGACATAGATATATATGATTCACACACACAGATATATAGTATCATAGATTTGAAAGGGATCCCTAAAGAAGGACAATTATATGTTGCATGTTCCAGAGTAAGAAAACCAGACAATCTCCACATCAACACTGACAAAGAAACAGCTAGAAATACTGTTTACCCACAAGAATAAAGAAATTACATATATTAGAAACCAACACTTTCTCATTACTTCCTTTTCCAGATCACCAGACCCGGCCACAGCAACGCGTGGCAGGGGACGGCTAGGGCTAAATAAATAGAGCTGCATATATATTACATGCTCTTAGTTCATATTTGCTATAGCCATTTATCTTTAGCCAAGTTGTCTTCACAACACTTTCATAGGCAACAGCAGGCTTGTCCAACCTGCGTCCCAAGACAAAATCATAAATTTACTTAAAACATTATGAGTTTCTTTGTAACTTGATTCCACGGTTCTCAAGCACTTTGTAGACAACGAAATGGAATAATCAGAGTATGTTATGTCCACAAATATCGAAGTATTATCTGAACTGGTATTATAATTGCCAACAACCAAGGAGAGAGAAACACCATGTCCATGCAGTGGCCCTCCCCAACACCAACTGCCATCTGGGTGGCCATTGCGAGGGAGGGAATCATCCAGCCAGAAATGCCACCAAAAACATCTTACTGGCTGCTGGACTAGCCAACAAATTGGCTTGTGTGTATGTGTGTTTTGCTTTTGAAAATAGAATGTAAATGGAAACCAGAATGGCAATACAAAATATAGTGA